ATACCATAAACAATATGGAATTTTTAATGCAATTTTATATTTAAAATTAAGTTGCTTTATAAGTTTTTGACAACATGATGTTATTGAAATATAATTTATTGTTAACAATTAATCCTTTGCTTTAAATTCGATATAATATTATTTTTAACCGACAAAATAACACTTTTTATAAATACTGTGTTCTAAAACAAGTTTACTAATGTAATCTTCTAACGTTGTATAAAATTTTATAATTATATCTATATTTATTTATCTATCTACTCTATCTATCTTTGTATACGTCTATTCTATTCTTCTATTCTAGCTATAATATAATTGTTCTATTATGTAATTATAAAATATATCAACATATTAACTTATAAAAGTCTATTTAGCAAAAATTATTATATAATTCGAATAATATGAATACAATTAATGTGAAATAAAGAAAAAACTGCATCTGAGTTTCAGTTCTTGAATCTTTAAATGAAATATTTATAATAGAATATAAAATTTTACGGTAAATTATTCTATTACATTGTAGACTATTCAGTTACCAAAATTTACAAAGCTTATAGAAAATATAATGATATAAATACTGAATAAAAAAATAATAAGTCATTTACTACTATGTTACAATGACATATCGTTTGTCATGAATACACAATGATGTTCAAAAGTTAAGAATAATGGCTATTTCTGTGAATATTGTGCTTAACAAAAGGCAGAATGAATCGGAAATAAGTATAGTCAGTTAGACAGCTATTACATATAAATGAAACAATTGAAGAACACATAAAATATTTTATTGCATAACTTATGCAAAAAATAAAAAATGGAGAAAAGAGAATGAAAAAGAGAGAAGTTGTCTGTTGCTGACAGAAAAAACTTCTAATCTTATTAAATAATAAGAAGAGTAATTACTCCTTGCTGCAATACAAATGTCATAGTAATGTTTCACGTTCCAAACGAGGTTCAATTGCGATTTTCCGAATTTTGCAACAATATAATTTTCAGCTCTGCGATGTTCCTTGGTGGAGGCTGGCGAGCATCACTCTTTTGTCCATTTCGCAGATTTAAGTGAGGAGAACATGCTAGGATTTCATGTATTGAATAACTTCGTTTTGAAGAAAATCGTCGACCAGCTGAAAACGGTATGATCTTGTCTCACCGTCCATGAATAAAAACAGTTGATCCATAGCCCCTCGGAAAATGACGAACATTATGAGATTCGAGAGCCTTATCTCTATACCTTGTTCCATCAAGTAACTTCTTCGAAAGTGTGAAAGCCAGTATGTCTATTAAACGTTAAGCCCACTCAGACCAGAGGGGCTAACATATAAGGAGGAAACCTTTGAACACTAACTGAGCAGACCTGGCCTGAGGAAGTCTAGAATTTCCTGTTGCCCGTATACAAGGAGGAAAACTTCTCAGTTCAGATCGCTGTGGCATCTGAAGTCCAGGCACTTGTTGATGTTTATTGGCAACAAACTGTATTAAAACTGACGTAAAAAAAATGTTCTTGTACGGTATAAAGAGTGACTAAAAAGTATTCCTACAGAAACCTGCCCTCAAAATTAAAATTAGTACGTAAAGAATGCCCAACTATTTGAAAATAAATGAAAACTCTTGAAGATGTGGTATGTAATTATTTCGATGTTTTCTATGAGTTTGTTGGTTTTATAATCATTTGTTACAATTAGTAAAAAAACGTTTTCTGTATTGATTTTTTATTTGTAATGATGATTTCCTTTGACAATGGAATGATAATTTAACACCTCAGACATATCCACTTTATTTAATATCGTTTTATTTTGTTTTATTAAGTTATGGAAACGCAACACTTAGGCAAATTCCCAACGTTTAGGGAACGAAACCGCTTGGCCACTGGTAAGCTTTATTCAGTATCCGATTCTGGAAGTTGTGAGCGTGAAAATAAATTTTTATTTAAAAAATGTGACTGAACTGATATTTTCTTATCATACCAAACAATACAATAACGAGCAAACTAATAGTATTTTTCGAAAAACAGATTCAAAATAACAAAATATATGTTTCTGCTATACCACCACATCACTCTTAGAAGTGTGGCTTAATTGGTAACAGTATATGGGTAGGATCTCTGCCATTGCCAACCCAGTTATTTTTCACGGAGTACGGGTCAGATCATGTAATGGGCTAATTTACCGTAAAATTTAATATCCTATTATAAATATTTCATTTAAAGATTCGAGAACTAAATGTCAGATGTATTTTTTTTCTTTTATTTTGCAGTGCCTTTGTTAATTTTAATACAAATTAATTGAGTTAGAGTAGAAATTTTAAATAGTAAATGTTTTATTCAGTATTTAAACTTTTTAATATTCATGTACATTTAGCACATGATCTGTAAGTCTAATACAATACTGTAATTTTATACATTTCTTGTGAAAGAAACATTTCTTATTCAACGGCCATAAAAATTATTTCTATTAATGATGTCTCCAAAGTTCAGCGAATTTTTCGCAGAAAAATTACTTATCAGAAANTCTAATACAGTACTGTAATTTTATACATTTCTTGTGAAAGAAACATTTCTTATTCAACGGCCATAAAAATTATTTCTATTAATGATGTCTCCAAAGTTCAGCGAATTTTTCGCAGAAAAATTACTTATCAGAAAACGCTCCCGCTGTTCGATGCGCTGCTCCGCGACGAAAACAAGCTTAAGCAATGGCGTGGTCAAACGGTGCACACTCGGTAAGTAATCCTATAATTTTTTGTTTATAGCATAGTTTATACGGATTATTACCAAAAATTATACGTGGTTTCGAAATGTTGAATCAAATTAGTCTAAAATCGATTAATTTTATGGAAGAAAACCTTTCAAACAGCCGTAGTCCGTAAACTGCACACGTACTGGCCTGTGATTGGCTCATGTATTTAATGATTCCTACAACGTAAAATTCTTATAAAGTGGAACGTATCTACCGCGTTATAGGGGGTCGACTATAAATGTAACGATTTTTTTTCAACAATATACTAATATACTAATCTTATTTAAAATTAAGAATAGAAATCTTAAAATTGTCTAATTTGCAATTAGGGAAATAAATAAAATAGTTAAATATTTAAAACATTGGCTGTTTTCAATAGAAGAATTTTTCCAGAAATTAACACAGAAACAACTACAGTATTTACAGTTATAACGAATGCATTTCTGTTTATTAGTAAGTTTTAATTGTTAACCTTATACATTTAAATTTATGAAAAATTTGATTAGATTTTATATCTACTGTCATACTTCAAAGTCCATACTTTAGTAGAAAAGTTAGAGAATACATGTTATAGAATAGAGATTTGCAGAAAATAATCGAATGTTATATTATGTATAATTAAATGATATCATTATCTATTCACATAATTACTACATATACAAAGGAAACAGATATATATTGAATTTACAAAAATGTGTCCATGTAAAAATATTACAATGAAGAAAATTTATTTTTATAAACAGATCGGTTTTCGTTTATCCTTATTTTATATTGTAAACCTCAATGATAGCCACTTTTAAATAGCAGCCGTTTTTTAAGTGAACAAACATACATACAAAATTACCTCCAAAACGGTCGATATTTTGGGTTCAATCAGTGATCGTATTTCAGAGGTTCGACTGTGTTAACATTCTTGCATTTCAACTAGATAATTTATTATAAAGCAAAAAGTTTTATGCTTCCATAGATTATGGTTAAGAAATATCATTACTATTAAAATATGAAAGTCTTAATTTAAACCACTAAAGATATAATGTTATATTAATATTGCATTATTAAATTAAATTATGAAGTATTTAATACGACGAAACGTCAATACATATTGGAATTTTCAGACTTTATAAAATCGTGCGTAACAAACTTCCCGTAACAAGTACAGAGCGATTCAAAAGTTACAGAAATTTTAAAAAATTAATAACTCACAAACTATTTACAGTAAGATGAAGTTTTCACAGAAATGCTTAGAAAACAGCGGGATTTTTTTTTATGTGTAATAAAAATTTTAGTACCAAAATATTTACATGACGATTGATAAGATTACATGATTTATGTTTTCGTTACTAGAGCATACAATAAGAACATTTTTATTTTTTATTTTTAATTTAACAAATTTAAAATGTTCAATGTGGTGCCCATTACTTATGAATACAGCTGTTAGACACTACGAACAGCATTAATGAGCATCTCAGTTGGTGTTAATGAAACTTCATGTTGCTAACAGTTATTCAACATGGCTAATGAAATTATCTGATGTCTGTCACCTTTGACTTCAAGTAGCCCTATAATCCGAAAGTCGCATGGTGAAAGATCTGGAGATCTTGGAGGCCACTTATTTGGAAAAAAGCGACTGAGAACATGGATCTCTGCAAAGGTTGTATGCAATTGTTTGAGCAGCAATGTGTGGAGGCGCTCCATCTCGCTTGAATGTTACACAGTTAAGTGCATTAAGAAGCTTTCAGTTTCCTAATGCACCATCTAATGGCAAGAAATGTAACTATTTTGGTACTAAAATTTTTATTACAACTAAAAAAATCTCGTTTTTCTCTAAGCATTTCTGTGAAAACCGCATCATCTTACTGTAAATAGTTTTTGAGTTAATAATTTTTTGAAATTTCTGTGACTTTTGAATCACCCTGTACATCAAATAACGGGAATTACTGCATTACTTTTTCAAAATAATTTTGAATTTCTATGGCCACAACTTTTTATTATAAGCTCAATGAAAAAAGTAAGAGTTGCTGCAATATATCCTATGATAAGGAGAATAAAGGATCCAGCCAAATCAGTAATACTCAAGGCATGTGTATCTTCTGAATTATTCTTTGGAGAAAGTACTGTTTTTTTCTTTTTTTTGTCGTCATCTTTCATAAATTTCTTTAAAAATCCTCCTTCAAAGAAACGAAATATTCTGAAATTTATTATAATATTACAAATTAAGTATATTTAAAATCAAACTGTTTTTAAATTAACATTTTAAAAAAAAACTTACGCTTTATTTAATTCTCTCTTGTAAGGAAAGCTTTTCGACATACCAAATCCTATGTTGATAGTAAATAATCCATCTTTAGAAATTAGAAAATTTTCTGAACCGTAACGGCTGAGGAGCATTTCAATAGGCGCTTCGTAGAATATATATGCAAATTTCTCGTTCATTACACGAGGTATTACGTGTTTGTTGAACGCAACATTTTCAAGTTTGTTTGATTTAAGTAATCGCTTCCAACGTAAAGCGTCGCTACCTGTAGCGCTCTAGAAAAATACATTTAATATAATATGTACATACGAAACGTTACAAAAATTATATATATAACTTGTGTACATATTTAATTATGTTATATTAAACAAGTTTATTATTATTCAGTCTATTATTTTTACAGAAAGAATATTTTGTAATTGTTCTCTATACATTAATTGGGTGTATAAAAAATAGTTTGTGAAAATTAACAAAATGTTTTATTTTTATAAATTCTGTATTAACATATTATTACAAATTAACATTTTAGTATATTTAATTTGCAATTAAATATGCTAAAAGAGAAGTTTTAACGGTGTATTTTAGTAATATTTACATCTGTAATAAGGTATTATTTAACAATTTCTGCCAGGCACGTAATTAACGTGTTAAGGAGAAGATTGTATAATTAAATTATCTTCATGCGAACAGACATATGTAGTTGTTTTTGACCGCTTCGTCTTTTCTGATATTCAATTGCGTTTTCAGGTATTAAAATGAAATTGTGTAAACAAATATACATAATAACAAAATTAAGAAATTTCATTTAAAAAAACCTCTAAACTTTAGCGCGAAAATTAAAAGATAGTGATGAGGAATGAATAAAGCAATCTGGGTTTGTATGTCTGTATTTTTTTAGGAATGTATGCTTCAATCCTTTGCGTGATTCCTATTCATGTAGTTTTTAGCGATAGAATTTTGTTTTTCACCAATTAAAAGCTTTACTTGAAAACAAATTACAGAGAACAATACTTCTGTTGTTTTTTTCCCACTTTTTGACTAAATCAATTAGAACTCGTCTATCTATATCTAATTCATTTTGTACTTGCAATTTTTTTCTTGACTATATTTGACCATTGAGGAGAAAATATATATCTGTATATGAAATCAATGTAATATTTAATCTACTCCTATATATTGTCTGTCTACCAACCATCTATCTGCTGAATTGTTCATCTATTTTCATATCATAACCAGGGATATAAGATGAAGAAATCTTCGTACAAAACATTTCCCAAAAACCTGCTAACTTCTTTCTAACTGCTTCTTTGAACAATTCCATTTTATTGTTATTGTCAAATCTTAAAATTCTACTTATCACTTTAAATCTTTTCAAAGACATTGATGGCTTAAATATCCGGAATATGTCTACCATTCTCCTCATGACACATTTCAGCGAGTTATTGTTTATCATCTCGAGTAAGAGGTGCCAACGTTTATATACTTTAACTTCTATTATATTTTTAATAGTTTTTGTTCTATTATTTTGACTACTCCATTCTTTATAAGCTTTACTGATTTGTTTCTCTGACCATAATATCAAATAATTTTCAGGCTACTAATATTCTAAAAGTTTCTTTAATTAAATAAAATTAGTAACTTTGGGGCAAGAGTTTTCATGTACTGTAAAATATTAGAAACTGAAATTTGATGTAACCTTAGGATGTTTTCACTGCATTTTTTCCCTAAAATATAGTTATCTGCTGGAACATATTCATCCTTCAAATTACCTGTAACATCATTATTTTCCTCCATTACAGAGGTTTTATAATAACTCCTTTCTAATTGTATCTTCTCCTTTGTCTTAATCAATCATGTTTGGTATGTAATATTTACCCTCACGTATTGTACAACATTAAGTTATCATCAACCATTTCCTCAATAACACTCCTACGATCTCCTATAGCTTAACTTTTTTTTAATATTGTAAATAAAACTTTATTTTCATAATAATAATATAACTTATAATCTGCGTAGTGTAAAACACTTCTAGAAAATAGAATATTAAAATGTAAATTGTAATAGTAAATTCTACTTAAGTACATTATTCCACGGTAATCGTCCAAAAAATAATCGAAACAACTAGCCAGACAGAATAATCTCCTATATGGCGCAATGGATATCATAGGACAGGGTTGTCAAACCTTTTTTCCTTATGGGCCAAATTAGAAATTTACGTGTATTCAGCGGGCCATGAAAGTACCATATATAAATACAGTATATGCCAGGGGTGGGCAAGCGAGAGTTCAGTGGAAGCCGAAATGTAGGTTTTGCAAATTGCATGGAAGCCGCAGTTCTGTACTTTTTTATTCCATACCGCAGTTCTATACCGCGATTTTATTGTATAATATAAATATAATATTAAACAAATATTGAATTTTTTTAATAAACATATTTTCACAAAATTGTGGAAATAAAATTGTAAAAACAATAATAAAAAGTAGAAATTAACACTTTCAGCAAGAGCTACATGTAACTCAAAAAGAGCCGCCTTTGCCCATGGTGGGTATATGCTTTTAAAAAATTTAAAATATGAATATAAAATTTTAAGAACAAATACATATGATTACAAAATATACTGTGTTACTGACAGTAAAAGAAATTATACTTACACAAAATAAAAATAAATTCAATGCGATTTTTGACATTGTTTTCCTTATATAATAATGTCAATATCTGCGTTTACGGTACAAGTCTTAATTCTAAAAATGTTAGTTAAATGGGAATAACTCAACCTATTTCTTTTAGCAGTTTTGATGTTTTTCATGCAGGAAAAAATTGTTCACAACAATATATAGTACACCACACGCATAACAGTTTCCTAGATAAAAAGTTTTCTAGCACCAATTACGTTATTCTGACATCAAGGTTTATCTAGTGAAACAAAAATAATTTTTACGACATACTTTACCAAAATGAATGAAAATGTACTTTAAAAATTTAGGGTGCAGTGACCGCAAAAAAATATAAAGTGGGCCGTGGGATGGACATTCTTATCATAGCATGTCATAGGGCAGTATATCTTTTCTCTGCGTTAATTTTCTAAAAATATTTACTAAACTTAAAACGATTCTAAAAGACTCCACGTGCCTATCGTAATAATACAAATCATTTACTTTGGTTTTTAAAAACATTATTTTGGTGAGAGAATATTGTGATCATAAAGCTTTTCGTTTTAATTTGACTTTTGATTACAAGTTTTTTAGAGACGGTCTCTTTTATGTTCTCTTTTATGTTGTCCATGTGCCTTACCTTCGAATCTCATCATTCTGAGATTGGATGTGCTCCAGACCCATGACGAGTCGGAAATGGACTTTCAATGTGTCCATACAGTGAAAGAGTTTTAAAAAATACAAATTTTTTAAATGAAATTTATTTTACATTACATTTTTATATAGATAATTTTAAAATAAAAAAAACACTTATACACTTACTTCAATAAACTTAAAAATTATTTCATTGTATCCTACTCCTACAACATAGTCACCATTATCGGCCATTTTTAGTAATTCGGAATAAGTTCGGGGAACAGGTTCAAAACCAGGAAACGTAATGAAAGACATTAATGCACCAGCATAACTGGCAGTAATGACATATAATGCTAGAACCCATCCGGTGACAAGAATTCTGCAACTCTGACCGGAAGGTACAAATACGTCACTTCCTACAATATTTGAAATATTCGATTAAAGTATTCCAATGACTTATAAAATATAAACGTGAATATTTAATTACCTTTTTGTGCAAATGATCCAAAAAGCGCCCAAGCTACGTTATAGATTGTTAATTTTCTTCTATCTTGTAATTTAGAATCCATCCAAAAAAGCAGGGAAAATGTAATTAAGCAAATTATAAATGCAACGAAAATTGCTATCCAGACCTGAAATAAACGCATTCTTATGTAATGTTTCGATACATACAGGCTAGGTTCTGTTAGAACATAATGAATAAATTGTTTTTATTAACTAAACTTGAATTACTTCTTGTATAGACGAAAAATATGCGAGAGAAGTTAATTAAAGAATCGAAATTTTTTTTAACGTGAAGTCTTACGTACTATTTACAGTCGAATATAAAATGGTAATCGGCCAACACATCAAATTTCTCAAAAAATGAACTAAATATTTAAACCCGGCACCCTCCAAAATCCATAAAAGCATATTTTCAGATTGCTGGTAACAATATATAGGCCTAAGTAATTTTCCTATTGTAATCTCACAATCTCGCTGGTCAGATAAAAAGGAGAGCTTGTGGCGAGGAGGTTAAAGCTAATTCCACAAAAAGTAGTCGTTCACCTCTTCCAGAATGTAATTAAAAATCAATTAACTGCTGATATCATATCCGAGAGGATTATTTATTTATTATTTATGAGAAAGCAAAGCAAGCTGCACAGCAATCTTAAGAAACGGAATATTATTTTTCTTCACCAATATAGAGTAAACACAATTTTAATTTCAATGTACGATATTTAAGTATTTTATTTATTGTTTTCGTGTTTTAATTTGTTATTTGGGGCATTTAATTATATCATTTTTAATTAACTTAAAATATGTATGTTTACTGTTTAAATTTCTTAAAATAGGTATTGTTTAGGGCCTGATTACGGATTAATTCACTTTCCGTTATTTGTAATAAGAAAAATTGATTCCGACAACGAATTCATTTCAAAGTTCCAACAAATTATATTCGAAGTCCGAGGCATCACTGTAGTGCCACCAGTAGTTGAATGGATGAAATCGTGATTGCTGGTTTGCTTTTCACATAACGAGCTGGCCACGTAAATTTTTCGAAATTTTCTTACACGTTTAAAACCAAATTCTCATATAAAGTCTTTTTTACGGGCATTCCCTTATTAGACTTCCCAAGTATTGCATTATATTATGTAATAAATTCAATTCTTGAAGTATTACCCATATAACATAACACCGTCTAACAGATGATCTTTCATAAGTATTAACAATAATTAAAATAAATTACAGGTAAGAATGAACATGTAAATTACTTGAAAGAAAAATGGACGAAGTATCGCAGTAATTTTCGACAATTCTAAAGGTTTTCTAATAAAAAAGAGAACCCTGTCAATTACGTAACATTGAGAGAAATCCATATATTGAAGTCTTTCAAATCTCTGCCCAACAGGCACTGCAATGTCCACCGTCTGAATAATAAAAAGCTAATTATAATTAATGTAAAAAGTAAAATTAGCCATGCAAATAGATTTTAATGCAGTTTCATACATTATTTTTCAGAAGGTTATTTCTTTCAGCATAAGGAGCAGTATTTAATTCATAACTAAAAAAAATAAATTACTAAATATATAATTATGATAAATTATTAATTGATATACATATGTATATTCTCTATGTCTAATTTTACCTGAATCCGAGATATTCTTGAATTTGAATAAAAAGTCTTGACATAAATCCTGAATTTGTTACCTGCCGAGTTGTTTCAGAAATAGAAAATGTTGCTGGAACCTAATTTAAATAAATATATTAATTGCAAGTGAAATGCAGATTGATGATATAATATGATGACTATTCTAAATAACATTGTGGCATTTACTCAAAAATTCACAATATGGTATAGAAGATCAAAGTGCTATAAATCTATGATTGTAAGCTGCTTAAAGGCAAACGTATTTTGGATTTCATCTGAAAATTGTATAACAGTGTTTCAAAATATTCGTACTTACACTCATAACAGTAGTAGACTACAGTAATTGGACGTACGTTCGTGCCTGAATCACAGGCTTGCCACTTGAAGTTTCTAAAATGTAATTAGTACAGTGGCGCGCCTCCTTGGAAGCGGTGGAAGCGCCGCTTTCCTTGTACAGTAGAGCAGTGGTCCCCAACCCCCGGGCCGCGGACCGGTACCAGTCCTTGGATCAAACGGTACCGGGCCACCCAAGGAACATTAAATTATTTCCATTTTATTTACTATGGTGTATTTCCTCGGGTTTGTGCGACTTTTAATGGACGACGGAACAACAGAATAAACTGGACGTAAGAAACACACTTCGGGTGTCATTGTCTCCTATTACCCCTAGAGGGAACCGTCTCCTTGCAATGAAACAAGCTCAGGGTTCTCATTGATTTAGCGTTCTAGTGAATTAAAATGTTAAATCACATTATATTCATTTTTTGGTGTAACTGTATTTTATTTTGAAGGCATGTTTAAATACAATTAAATTAAAATTATTAAATTAAGTCAATCTAAAATATAAACGGTCAACGTCCCCCCTCAGTGGGCCGCGGTAAAATTATCAAACTTTGACCGGTCCGCGGCGATAAAAAGGTTGGGAACCGCTGCAGTAGAGCATCGATTATCCGACCCCCGATCAACCTGTCGCATCGGTTAACCGACCGTTCTAGTCGACAAATTTCAAACGTCCGCTAGTGATGTGGCGCTACAATATTTGGCTATGTCTTGGCTACTTTATATTATTTTTGTTAAATTTTTGCGTGTTTTAGCTGGCAACACTGGCTCTACCATGAAAGGGAGGCGAGTATTTAAAAGAGACTTAATTTTCTAATTACGAGTGGTTGTTTGTTTTGTGAGCAAAAAAATAATTTTAAAATAATTTTTAACGATACAATAGTGACAATTATTATTTTTAAATAAAATTTGTTATGCTTAACATCGATGAAAATTCAATGCGAAATAGGTTAAGAACCATATACTAATATACAAATTACATGGGATATACTAATATACTATACTAATGATGTATTTTTTTCACTCTTTTCGGTTATCCGATTTTTTCAGTTATCCGACCAACCTGAATCCCCAATTAAGTCGGATAATCGATGCTCTACTGTATTTTCTAAAATATAAATACATATTGCGCGATTATTTTCATATTTGAACGTACTTTGAATTAATTAAAATTAATATTTTATTATAACCGCATTATGTATCTTATTACAAATTTCCATATTACATGTGAAAAAATACAGTTGCACCTCAGGATACGAAATTAATCCGTTCCGACACTGAGATCGTATCGGTTTTCGATAGATTACTGTATACAATAGAACAATCCACGGACATAAAAATTCAAGCTTTCGCTGATGATCTGCTGATCATGATAGCCGATAAAAACTGTGACCACTTGCCAAACAGGCAAATAAGGTAGTGCAGAAAGTACAGGAATGGAGCATTAATCACAAGTTGCCGATAAACCGTGCAAAGTGTGCATCAATGACATGCACACGAAAAGACAAGCGGGGGCAACTAAAAAGAGCGATAGGTGTGCACATCGATGGCAAGAAAATCAAAACAGTCACGGAATTAAAGTACCTCGGTATATACTTCGACCAAAAATTGAACTGGCGAAGCCACATTGAACAAATATGTAGGAAAACTAACCAGAAGATAAATTTCCTGACATGGATAGCAGGCAAAGAGTGGGGGCTAAATTTTCGGAACTGCAAAATCATTTACAAGGCGGCAATATGGCCGGCTGTGCTTTATGCAATACCTGTATGGCATGAAGCATTAAATAGCATACATGGAAGGAGGAAACTCATGTCCATTCAGCGCAGAGCAGCCCTACAAATGTGTAGAGCTTACAGGACGACACCCACGGACGCGCTACTGGTTCTCGCAGGTATACGGCCAATACACCTCACAGCCAAGGCACTCACATGGAAGTGGTACCTCCAAAGGAGACATCACACAATGGACAGATCAAGGAAAGGCCAATAACAGGAAGGAGGAGAAAATTCCAGTTAATTGTGATGATTTAATAGACAAAATAGAAAGCGGGAGGAACCATTTCCACCCAGCTGACGAAACACACTACAATGTTGACCTACAGTTTGAGGGAATAGAAAACACACCAAGTGATTGGGCTGTCTACACAGATGGGTCTAAGCAGGAAAGGGGAGTGGGTGCAGGAGTGGCCATATTTGCACGAAATGGCCGGAAGACCTTCCAAGCACACCTCAAGATGGCACCTCACTGCAGTGTTATGCAGGCTGAACTTTGGGCAATGCACAAGGCCCTAACTCACATAGCCATTAACATCAATTATTAAAAATGGATAATAAATATCTACACTGACAGAAGGGCAGTGTTACACACACTTGAAAACAAAAGGAGACCCACACGACTAGGAAGAGAACTAATAAACACCGCAAACTCTCTTGCTATACATAGAATCATCCACTTCATCTGAATTCCGGCCCACAAAGGTTACGGAGGGAACGAAACAGTGGACCTGCTGGCCAAAAAGGCTTGCGTACTCCATTCCATCCACACCTACTCACGCTACCGATGACGATGATCTAGGAGAAAATAAACTCAATTACAAACACTCTATGGCAGATTGAATGGGACAACTCCACGACGGGAAGACTTTGCCATAGATTTATACCAACTCTAACGGCAAGGAAAAAAGCCCATCACTTTGAACCCGATCCAGACATGACCCAATTCCTAACGGGTCATGGGAAATTTCAGTCTTACCTTTACCGCTTTAAAAAACGCACGGACAATAAATGTGATTGTGAACTTAAAAGTGAGGGAGACGCCGAACATTTTATGTTCCACTGCCCTATATTCCACCAGCATAAAGCAGAATTTTTTAGGGACACCATGACAAGTGGACTAACATGGCCACCACAGCTAGCAGACATCTTTGCCACCAAACGACTGAGGTGCAGCCTTCAAACATTCGTCAAGAAAACAAAAGTACTAAAACCGGACTACCTCAAAAAACAGCAACAAACACCGAATGACAATAGTCCAATCCACCAAACATCGGAAAGTGAAACAGATGAAGATAGCAAGAACGGTTCCTGATCGTATATGCCTTGTACAGTACATATAACTTCCCCTGTTTTACATTAATTGCTCGATATTACCTTATATTAATTGTAAACATTAACCCTGAATACTGTATGTATTGCCGCGCCATTTCGTTTATATGGTTTCCATGCTATTATTGGATCTTTTAACCATATTTTGTTTTACTTAGTGTGTTGAGGCGTTGCGGGCGCCCATGGAACCCATGGTCACTTCCTTCCTCTCTCCTATCTATCTAACTTCCTCTTGCTGCTTATCATCTTACCTTCGAACCTTCTCACCTGTTCTATTATTTTGACTACTCCATTCTTTATAAGCTTTACTGATTTGTTTCTCTGACCATAATATCAAATAATTTTCAGGCTACTAATATTCTAAAAGTTTCTTTAATTAAATAAAATTAGTAACTTTGGGGCAAGAGTTTTCATGTACTGTAAAATATTAGAAACTGAAATTTGATGTAACCTTAGGATGTTTTCACTGCATTTTTTCCCTAAAATATAGTTATCTGCTGGAACATATTCATCCTTCAAATTACCTGTAACATCATTATTTTCCTCCATTACAGAGGTTTTATAATAACTCCTTTCTAATTGTATCTTCTCCTTTGTCTTAATCAATCATGTTTGGTATGTAATATTTACCCTCACGTATTGTACAACATTAAGTTATCATCAACCATTTCCTCAATAACACTCCTACGATCTCCTATAGCTTAACTTTTTTTTAATATTGTAAATAAAACTTTATTTTCATAATAATAATATAACTTATAATCTGCGTAGTGTAAAACACTTCTAGAAAATAGAATATTAAAATGTAAATTGTAATAGTAAATTCTACTTAAGTACATTATTCCACGGTAATCGTCCAAAAAATAATCGAAACAACTAGCCAGACAGAATAATCTCCTATATGGCGCAATGGATATCATAGGACAGGGTTGTCAAACCTTTTTTCCTTATGGGCCAAATTAGAAATTTACGTGTATTCAGCGGGCCATGAAAGTNGTGGCGGAAGAGAGGGAGAAGGGAAATGATACTAAAACTTAACTTACATAACATAATGTAACAATAACTTAAAAATAACTTTAAAAAGATTTTAAAAAATTAGTGTTGTTTTATTTTTTATTTTTTAAAAATTTTTATTCACTGCTTTTTGCTTTCTTTCCTTCACTTCAATCAACACTTTCACTGGATAGAGGTCGCTTGGTAAAATATCTATCCAAAGAGGTTTAGCTCTGCCTACTTTTTAAAATGTTTCTAAAATGACTTAAACAAATGTCATTACTCTGAGCATCAATATGGCCAGTGTAAACCTTTTCGGGATGTTTCTTTTCAATAAAATCGGTCACTTTCTGATAATACCTCGAGATTTCCTTTATCGAGCGAGATCCTTCCACGACGAAGCAAACACGCGGACTGAGACCAACGAACAGAAGTGAATAAAAAATGGCGCTGCGACTAATGTAACGTCGTATGGTGAGTTTTTGTTCGTATCGTAGAACAAAAATATGTTCGAATTTCCAATCGTATCCTGAAAATTTCGTATGCTATGGGCGTTCGTATCCTGAGGTACCACTATAATAAGATTGCTATTCTTTATTCGAATATTTTATTTTACCAAGTAAGTTTTTATTATTTTATTTTTATCTAATTTTGCCCGG